ACTTTAGCTGCATCCCATAAAGTTGGATATGCAGTTGTTTTGTTTCATCCATCTCATCTCTTTCATCTCATCGAAGTATTTTCTCATTTCCCCTGTTACTTTTTTTCTTTGACCCATTGGTTATTTAGGAGTGTGTTTAATTTCCACATATTTGTGAATTTCCCAGAATTCCTTCTATTGTTAATTTTAGTTCCACTTTGCTTGTAGAACATACCTTGGGTGATTTCAGTCCTTTTAAATTTATTGAGGGTCATTTTATTGCCTAGCATATGGTCCTGAGGAGGGTCCCACTGTGTGCTTGAGTTGGTGTTTTATTCTGCTGTTGTTGGGTGGTGTTCTATAGATATCTGTTAGGTCTGGTTGATTAATTATTTTTACCTTGAGTATGTCATGATAGTAGGTAGAATTTTGATAAATTCTTAAGACTATTTATCCAGTATCTTGGTGAATCATAGCAACAAGTTCTTGAATACTTCCTGGGTGAAGGGTACTGTGATTAATGCAAAGGCTTGGTTCACGACACACATAATATTTAGTAATACACTGTTTTACAGGCACACACTGGGTATCCTGACTGAGTCACACTTAGTCAGACATGAGTATCAAAGAGTTTTCTAAGATAACTTAGAAATGCTCATGACTGCTTTGTCCATCCAGATATGCCTGACTTGCTAAGACTTCTGTTTCTAACATTAGCAAAGCGTATTATCAGCTCTGAAGAGTTGTTGGTGTTGTCCTAGAACACTTAAACTTGGAAGGGTAATTGCCTTTCTGTGTATTTGGCAGTTACAAAAGTAGACATGAGCCATATTGATAATAGCATGGCATATGCCAGAGCTTCAAAATAATCAAGATACTTCTTTTACATTTTGTTAGAACTTTAGCTGAGTGCCTTCAAACTCAAACTTCACATCCCTGACACCACTGTCCCCTTTAAAGAAATATTTCGTGGAAATAGGTTTCTGCTACATATTTGTATGTACAAAATATTGAATAGTTGCCGAAACCGGTTTGGCTCAGTGGATAGAGCGTCGGCCTGCGGACTGAAGGGTCCCAGGTTCGATTCCGGTCAAGGGCATGTACCTGGGTTGCGGGCACATCCCCAGTGGGGAATGTGCAAGAGGCGGCTGATCGATGTTTCTCTCTCATCGATGTTTCTGACTTTCTATCTCTCTCCCTTCCTCTCTGTAAAAAGTCAATAAAATATATTTAAAAAAATATATATTGAATAGCATGTTTAAGGGGGGCTTTTTTAAATAGAACTTTCTATGAATTGAAAATAGCATGAGCCTTCGTTTGGCTCAGTGGATAGAGCCTGTGGATTGAAGGGTCCCAGGTTCAATGCCAGTCAAGGGCACACACATTGGTCGCAGGCTTAATCCCTGGCCCTGGTCGGAACGTGCGGAAGACAACCAATTAATGTCTCTCTCTCACATCGATGTTTCTCTCTCTGCCCCCCCTCCTCACTTTCTCTAAAAAATCAATGAAAAAATATCCTTGTTGAGGATTAACAACAAAAAACATATTCTGGTGTTTAGAGGTGAGGTCCTTGGGCAAAACTGGGAAGGGAGTGGGAATGCAGAATGCTACCGTGGACTAGGATTAGAATTGGGGAGGAAGGGTCTCTTTCTCATAGTGCTCCCCTTTCTGCACGAGGCCCTTTGCTTGTGGACCTTTGATTTCCCACAACCTCTTCATGGTGCTGCACCTTCTCTAGCTCCAGCTTGTGCAGAGACAGAATGGGGACCTGTTGCCAGTTGGTTACGTGTTTTCACTATTGAAAATGGAAGGGCCAGAAGAGTGCGAGTAGAGCAGCTCCGCCGGGTGACCTGTAAGATGTTGGTCTAGTGCTGACTCTTCTAATTTGGGCCCTTGTGTCAGTGCGTGTGTAATGTGGTCTTGAGTGAAATGTGCAGACAGCAGCATCTGAGGCACATCCAGAGAGCAGAGGCAGCGTTTCTTTGGATTCAGCAAAACCATAATTATTGTCTTTTCAGAATTCTGTTTCACATAAATAATCTTAGGCCAAGCCTTGCCCTTATTGTGAAGTCATTTTGATCCTTTGTGTGAACTGGCACCAAAATTTTGCACAATTTGCTACCCTCACCTGAAAAACTCTACTGTGTTTCACCGATGAACATTTTTGCCAATAGTGTCCAATAATGGATCAGTTAACCTTCGTGGCTATATTTAAACAAAATTTGGTCAGTTTTCAGTTGTTGTATAGTTCCCTGAACTTCGTCACATCTCCTGGTCTTCAGTCATGTTGTTCCTTTTGTCTGGTATAACTTTTGCCTCTTCATTTCCCTCATTACTTAGAGCAGCGGTTCTCAACCTGTGGGTCGCGACCCCTTTGGGGTCGAACGACCCTTTCACCTGGGTTGCCTAAGACCATCGGAAAACACATATATAATTACATATTGTTGTTGTGATTAATCACTATGCTTTAATTATGTTTAACTTGTAACGAAAATACATCCTGCATATCAGATATTTACATTACGATTCATAACAGTAGCAAAATTACAGTTATGAAGTAGCAACGAAAATAATTTTATGGTTGGGGGTCACCACAACATGAGGAACTGTATTAAAGAGTCGTGGCATTAGGAAGGTTGAGAACCACTGACTTAGAGCAAGCCCAGACTCCAGAAGTCTCTCTCCTACAGGTGCCCCTTCACTGCTCCGTAGCTCCATCGTGTGCCTCTGGCCACCACATATTTCTGTTTCTCAGATCTCAGGGTTCCTGTATCCCAGTATTTGCACAGCAGAGCGAAGGAAGCGCTGAAACCCACAGCAGGTTCCTCCTGCTCAGTGTAAATGAGGCTCAGTCTTTGTTACCCACCACTGCCTTGTCAGAGGTCAGGCTTCATTCTTATGTTGCCTCAGCTGTTTTTGCGTTTATTTAGGCGACAGGGACCAGAAATAGGAACTGTTGAGTTTCCATTGTAGTTTTTTATTCCTTTAGTTTGTGCCACTACCTCTTGGTTAGGTTTCTTGGCTACTTTTCCTTTGAGTCTTTATAAAGTATAATTGTACTTTACTGTGCATGTGACCTAAAGAATACTCAGTCGGTTTTATTTTTAAGTTAATGTCCAAAAAAATTCCCATTTTCCACCAGTTTTTGTTTTTGAATGTTTATTCCATCCATAATCATGGTGGCATTTTATTACAGCAGTGATCCATACAGTAAGAAATATCTCTATGGAAGGAGGCCCTGAACACTATGGCTTTCTTTCCTAAATTTGTTTTTTATTTTCCTTGTATAAGAAAAACAAGGAAAAATAATAGGAATAGTTTACAGTAACCCTGATGATTGTTCTAACCTGCAGTTTACACAACTCATAAGAGAAAGTGCCAGAGACCAGCTCCACAGAGGCCTAGATTGGGAGAAGAGAAGGCTTTTCTTATCATGTACTAGAGGCCCAGTGCAGGGAGTCCGTGCAAGGGGCTTGACCCTCGCAGCCATGGTGGCTTGCCTCGACCCTTGCAGACCCGGCTTTGTCCGGAAGGTTGTTCACTGTCCAGTCTAATTAGCATATTACGCTTTTATTATTATAGATTCTCTTGAGTTTGCGTTGCTGGTAAAGGTGAGGTGGATTGGGGGAAAGAATTTCTTGTTTTTCAAGCTTTGCTAGGACACTGCTTAAAACAAGTGTTTGAACTCTTCCTGTGCCCCTGTATTTCCAGGGGTGCTTTCTGACCTCTAATTAGCACCACAGCTAGGACTGGCAGCATGCTTTGTGGTGCCAGACATAGCTGTAGCCAACCTGGAGCAGGCCCAACCGAACAAGATACTGAAGTCAAAATGAGCAAGTGGTGCAAGTACTGTGAGTCAGAGTCTGCAAAATCTGCCTGAAAAGCAAGGCAGACGGCTTTGACTAGCGTCTGAAAATCTGTTCATAGACTGACATTTCAGTTCTTCTGAGTCCTGGGTAGTGGGTTTCAGTCAACAAGGCACTAATTTTTCTTTTTAAATTTGCCCATAGAAGCGAGACCTTGGGATGTACATACTGGTGATAAACTTGGAGCTTGAACATTGTTGCATCGGTGATCTGTGTTAACAGTCCATATCATATTAAAAAAATAATGAATTTGTATCTCTAGAGGGACCTGGCTTTAGTCATTGGCTCCATGAGCTGACCTGAGCTTTAGCTTTAAGCTTTCATTAATTTTGAGTGGCCAGTGCCTCTTCATTAGTAATATGATGGTTCATGTGTTGATCAAGTAATGCTGTCCTTAAAGCCAAGGAGTATGTATGTTTTGAGTTATTTTTCTAGTAGTGGTATATGTCTAGTCAGTCAGTTTTTTAAACACCATCTCTATCATGACTGGTGCCATTCTTAAATAGGCTGGTGGCTAGAGTCAGCCAGTCAATCTTTAGCCGACCTCGCTCATGCCAGCCTGCAGTGTTTGTCTCAGGAGTCTTATATTGACTAACCAGTTGAGCTTAAAAGAAGCAAAGGGGTGAATTGGAGTTTTTCTCAACATAAAGTTAATCAGAACCTTTCGACATAGTAAAGCCAACATATGGTTGTCTGTGCCTTAAAATTTTACATCTTCGATTTTACTAGAACTTTACACTGCTACTCCTTGTTCCAACTTAAAGTCATTTAAGTTAAATAGTTTTGCTATATCCTATTTTGAACTCTTCGGTTATGAAAATGTAATGGTAAATTGATATAAAATGGAACACATCATCATATATAGTTTACCCTGAATAACGCGGGTGTTAGGGCTACTGACCCCCCCCCCCCCCCGCCACAGTAAAAAATGCTTGTATAACTCGACTCCCTAAAAACTCAGGTTGCCCTAACCGGTTTGGCTCAGTGGATAGAGCGTCGGTCTGCGGACTGAAGGGTCCCAGGTTCGATTCAGGTCAAGGGCATGTACCTTGGTTGCGGGCACATCCCCAGTAGGGGGTGTGTGGGAGGCAGCTGATCGATGTTTCTCTCATGGATGTTTCTAACTCTCTATTCCCTCTCCCTTCTTCTCTGTAGAAAATCAATAAAATATATTACAAAAAAACAAAAAACTCAGGTTGTCCTGTGGTATCCATGGGAGACTGGTTCCAGGACCCCACCCCATCGCCCGTGGACACCAAAAGCCTCTGATGCTCAAGCCTATAAAATGGCATAGATCAATGCATGCAGTTGGCCCTTAACATCTGCAGACTCCAGACCTTGGATCAAAAAATAGCACAGGTATTTATTGAAAAAAAAACCCACATATAAGTGGACCTGTGCAGTTCAACTGTACATTCCTAAGATTTTTTTTTTCCAGGTCAATCAGCAAGCTTTTGAGTTGCCAGGGAGACAGTTTTTGTCTACTAGGAACTTGGCGTTGAGCTAGTGAGGCTCTATGTGCCTGTGAAACAATTAGTAAAGAGAACAATTATATGAAATAGATCCTTTTAAAAAATACATCTGATTAAACACTGATTTAGAGGATTTGTAGTAAGATAGAATCAGATGTAGTGAAGGAAGTTGGTGGGGCTTACAGGTAGGAAGTAAGAGTGTACTGATTCTAAATGGCTGAGAGTTGGATAGTAGAAAAAAATGGCATCTCAGGTGGCAGAATTCACTGAGGGTTGGAGTGTATATGGAGTGAATTTCAAAGACAGTGATCAATTTGGCAGTCTCTCGTTCGTAATTTTAAAATATATATTATGGTTCCTGATCAGTACCCAAACCTAGCCCAGTCCACTGCCCAGAAATAATAACTGATTATATTTGTCTTTCCTAGTATTTTTTTATTGTTTACACTATTGCAGATATCCTCCATTCCCCATTTCACGCTGCTTTGCCCACCTCCACCCAGGAACTCCTATAATAATTTATCTGGATACTTTAAAAGTCAAGGTCATACTGTATATGAAATGGCCTTTTTGAAAATATAAGTATTTGCCCATTGTGTTAAGCCATTGTTTGCAAATGACAGAACACACTACTCACACTAGTCTAAACAATAAAAGGTATGTATCATTGGCTTATAATAATCAAAAAGTTCAGAGATTGGATAGAAATCAGATAATGGTTTAATCAGGGCTCCAGCTCAGTGTCTCCCATAACTTTTTTGTAGCCGTGCCCTGTGCTGTGTGTTAGCTTTGTTCTAAGGTATGTGTTTCCTTCCCACCTCCAGCAGAAGTCCTGAGATTGGGGCTGATTGGCTCAGGTAGCCTAGGACTAAGCTGGTCACTGGGCCTGGGGAGAGAGACTTGCCCTGGGAGATTTGGTTGGGGGTCAGTCCCACCCAAGCCTCATGGCTCTCCACAGAGGCAGAATAGAGGTTAAGAAGACCACTCATTGTCTGCTCCACCCATGCTATTGTAAACTCTTCATAAATAACATTTGTAACAGCTGCAGAGTATCTCATTATATGAATGTCCCATAATTTAACCATTCCACTACTGGTGAGCATTGTAGAATGTTTCCCCCGCCCTATTTTAAGTAATGCTTAGTTGGACTTCCTTATTATATTTAGAGATGTTTTAAAGGAAAAATAAGGCTTGATTAGATGTAAATATGAAAGGAAGGGAAAAGGAGAAATAACTGAAAGTTGTATTTCCATAGACGGATGCGGGGGTTGCGTAGTGTGGAGCGTTGGGAGGACTTTTGGTTTGGACTGCCACATGCTGAGTGAGATCCGTTGCTGTAGTGGTTCTCTTCATCTTTTTGGTGCTTCTGAGCAACTCCTGGGTACCCACCGGTATGAATTATTTCCACTTGCTGTCTTCTATTTTATATTTAAAGACCAATTGTACTGATGGTGCTTTTTTTTTAAACAACATCATTTCTATCCCCCATAATCCCATTGTACTTTGATTTGAACCTTTTGCCTTGTTATCGTTGGTACCATATGCTCAAACCATTCAGTCATTATACCACGATTGTAAATGCAACATCTTACCAGAATAGCCTGTCCCTGCTGTCTCCTACTAGTTTCACCATTTAGCTTCTATTAAAAATACAGAACTAATTTATTCTGAGTAAAAGACCAGTGTAATTTTCTGTACCATTACTTACAACAGAATAGAAGTCATTGATAATCAGATTCTGTCCAGGAAGATGAAATGATTCTAATTTAGAGGTTTTGTGGTTTTGTTTTGAGACAGCTAACAGTAGATCTGGTGTAAGATGACCCATTAGCTTCTGTCCCCTTCGTGGACTTCTCAGTTTAAATGGAAGCATCTGGGTGGGCAGCAGACGGAGCTAGAGTAGGATTTAGGATTGGAAGCAGACACCTGCCAGTTTGTGAAGCGCACATATGCTCAGTATAGCAATCATTTGATACTAGAACTGCCAAGGAATGTCCTAAAAATAAGGTGGCTAGGAACAGAGGAGAGGCTTACAAGATTAGTTTGAACTTTCTTTTTCTTCATGGTCTGCCATCAGAAGTTTGGGTATTAGGTTCAAAACTGACAAATAAAAAGAATTTATTGCCCTGGCCAGTGTGGCTGTTAGTTGGGCATTGTCCTGTGTAGTAAGGTTGCCAGTTGGATTCCAGGTCAGGGCACATGCCCAGGTTTTTGGGCTTGATCCCCAGTGTGTGTGTGTGTGTGTGTAAAAGGTAGCCAATAAATGTTTTGCTCTCGCATCCATGTTCCTCTCTCTCTCTCTCTTTCTCTCTCTCTCTTTCTCCCTCTCCCCCCTTCTTCTCTCTCCCTCTCCCCCTCCCTCTCTCTCTCTCTTTATCTCTCTCTCTCTCTATTTCTCTCTCCCCTTTCCTCTCTCTCTCCCTTTACCCCTGGATAGGATGGAAAGATTAGGTTGGATACCAAACTGTGAGAGAGATACATCGATTGCCTCCCACCTGTGCCCCGAGCAGGCCGGGGAATGAACCTGCAAGCTAGGTATATGCCCTTGACTAGTAATCCAACCTGTGACCCTTTGGTACATGGCCAATACTCTACCACCTAGCCACACTGGTCAGGGCTGTCCATAGCATTCTTAATCCAATATAACTCTATTCCTTCAGCTTCAGAAATTATAAACCCGGAATAGAAACCTAGCTAGATCATTGATTCTGTGAAGTATTGGTCAAAAACAGTCAAGCAACACTTTGTGGGATGTCTGTTAAAGACTGTGTCAAAGAACATGTGGCAAAGAAGTATACATAGAGGTTACAAGCATGGACGCTGGAATTGGTCAGACCTGAGTTCCAGTCCTACATATTCCATTTACAAACTGTGTCTCCTTGGGCAAGTTATCTGGTGTATTTGAATGGACCTTAGATTCCTCATCTGTAAGGTGGAATAATACCTACCCAGCTTATGGACTTATGAGGATGAAATAGCCTAATTTGTCTTGGATTGTGGCACATGATACATGTTTAATAAATGTAAGCTGTATTTCAGTATTTTATTAAAGGAGAGATTAACTCATTCCTTGAACAGGTGTTAAGTATCTATTGTTTATGGGTCTGATAAAACCAGACGCTACTCTGTGAAGGACATAGGCGGGTACACCCTGTGGTAATGCTACATTAGTTTCAGTTCACCAGGAGAGGTGTGTGCAAGGTACAGCCTAGAAAGAACAGTGGTGGTGATAGATTTCACACCTGATGGGTCATTCTGCCAAAATTTTTTTAAAATATATTTTATTGATTTTTTACAGAGAGGAAGGGAGAGGGATAGAGAGTTAGAAACATCCATGAGAGAAACATCCATCAGCTGCCTCCTGCACACCCCCTATTGGGGATATGCCTGCAACCAAGGTACATGCCCTTGACCGGAATTGAACCTGGGACCCTTCAGTCCACAGGCCACTGCTCTAGCCACTGAGCCAGACTGGTCAGGGCTCTGCCAATTTTTTTAAAAAAATAATTCTTTATTGTTGAAAGTATTACTTATGTCCCCCTTTTCCCTTATTGACTTCCTCCCGCCTGCGCCCCCCCCCAGCCAAGTTTTGAAGAGAGAGATAAGACTGCGTTAATAAATATGGAGAGAAGGGCATTCCAGGCAGAGAGCAGAGGAATGAAGGTGAGGGGGGAACTGCAGGTAGCTTTGCTATAGTCAGAACTGAAGGTGAGGGGGGAATTGCAGGTAGCTTTGCTATAGTCAGAATGCGGTCTTTGTGGGGAGATGGCAGGGGTAGTTGGAGAGGTGGGCAGAAACTAGCATATGCTAGGCTGAATATTGGGCTTCATTCTTTTTTTTTTTTTAATCCTCACCCAAGGATATGTTTTTTATTTATTTTAGAGAGAAAGGAGAGGAGAGAGAGAAACATTGATCGGTTGCCTCCTGTACAGGGATTGAAACCCCACCCAGGTATGTATCCTGTCTGGGACTGGAACCCACAACCCTTCGGTGCACAGGACAGTGCTCCAACCAACTGAGCCCACCAGCCAGGGTGGGAAGTAATTGAAGGATGCTGAGCATGGAACTAACATCAGAGCTGTTTTTTAGGAAAGAAATTTTTGCAGCAAGTGGTAAAGGGAAATCTGTCTGGACATGACACTATGTAGAGACATCTAATTAAAGAGGACGTGTATCTGGATGATAGAGGTAAGTAGACTTGAGGAGGGGTAAGGAAGAAGATTGGCTAAGGCAACTTGGCGGCTGTGGGCGTTGTTACCTGAGAAAGGTAATATGGGAAATAGAAGTTTTTTGGACTCTCGTGAGTTCCATTTGGTTATAGTTAAGATTGAGGTGCTTGTGAGTCATCCAGAAAAAGAGATGTATCAGGCAGTTGAATGGGTTGATTTGGGCTACCCAGATTTGATATATCCCAGTAGAGTATAGGCCAGGGGTGGGCAAACTTTTTGACTCGTGGGCCACAATGGGTTCTTAAACTGGACCGGAGGGCCGGAACAAAAGCATGGGTGGAGTGTTTGTGTGAACTAATATAAATTCAAAGTAAACATCATTACATAAAAGGTTACGGTCTTTTTTTTTTTTTTAGTTTTATTCATTTTAAACGGGCCGTAGTTTGCCCACGGCTGGTATAGTCAGTAATGAAAGTTTGTGTAGAAGTGAGTTTTTTCTGAAGTGAAACTGTATGTTTAGAAAGATACCTAAAGGAGAACCTTGAGGAATGTCAAACATTTGAAGAGGAACCAGCAGTGAGCAAAGGCTGTGGAAGCATTCCTGCTGTCCCTGAAACCGAAAGGGGCCATTGTAAGACTTTACAGGAATATCTTAGGTTGACTTCCTGGTGTGCAGTCATTACGTTGAGTCTCTGGTGTACATACACCCTGGGTCAGC